GGTGTGTGTGGATGGGGGGCCTGCAGGCTGCTGTGTACGTGCTTTGTGCACAGCTCGGTGCGATATGGAAGAGGGGGTCACATCGCTGGCTCTGGTCCAAGGAGCTGCAGGGATTTACCCTTTGGTCCTTTTGACACCCTGGGAAATGTTCATGGGAGCACTGTAAAGGTGCGGCGGCAAAAGCAGGGCTGATAAAAGAGAAGGAGAAGCCCTCCATCACCTGCAGAGCGAGGAGATCGCAGCTCTTCCAGGGAGACGAATAACCAAATTAAGAATGACTCAGTTTCCTTTCCTTAAAGGGGGAATAGTTATTTTCTGCCTTCAGATTTTGAGCAAGACAATGAAAACCTGATACGGGGAGATGATTCTTTTTTTTTTTTTTTTTACTTGCATAGGCTGTTTTCCACTGCAGTCCGAAGACGGCAGGAGGTTCTTATGCCCAGTAAAGAGGCTGGGATTAGGTGATATTTAATGGAACTGGCTCCCTCCGAACACAAACGTTGATTAAAAAAATAGAAGATAGGGTACATGAGAGCAATACAGCTTTTAAACTTATCTGACGGCAATGAAGAAAATGTCTAATAAACATAGCTAAAATCCTGCATCTCTTGAAGTTAAATAGTCAAAGTGACTTTTGTGTGGCATTTCAGACCTATTTGCAGAAAAAAACCCTCATTTATACAATACTATGAATCTGACTGGTTTGTGATTACATTGCATAATCTGCAATAGGTATAAAGTTAGTTGTGCTGCCTCCGTTCCTCAGGATGATACGACATAATATAGGCAAAGATTACAAAAGTCCTATATTCTCAACTCGTATCTCTAGCAGCTCGGGGGTGTATTTTTCCACATTTGAGTAGTTTTTATTTTCTACAGAAAAGCAGTTCCATACTGACATGAGAAAGATAGGTTTGAGAAGTGAACTGATCATGTCTTCTCACAGTACTGGGAGAATACAACACTTGGCCATGGTGAGAAGCAAAATTCTCCATCGCGGGGGAGAACAAATAACTGCCTGTGCAGACAGATCAGAAGCTTTTGCACAACTTTCTTCTAAACCAAAACAAAGCAAAATATTTGCAGGTACAAGCCAAAGAAATGAACCTGTATGGGAATTATTCTCACCTTTAAAAGCTCTGCTTTGCAAGACTCTTTTGGGGTACGAATTCAAGTGCATGTCATTACAGTTTGCCTTGATTTACTGAATCAAAGACAGGTAACTGATTTTAAATTTTTTTACAGTGGCAGCTACTGTATGGTTTTCATTGACAACCGTTGTGAAATCAGACGTCGTATAAAGAAGCACAGCTGAGGACAGCAGGAGAAAAAGAAGGAATTTCCTGCCTGCATTAGATTAACAATACAGCTCCTTCAGAGAGGATCCATCTAGTGACACAATGCAGAAGAAACTGAACTGTCATGCAACTTTTATCAGGCGATGTGTGTTGCTATTTACCTACCCTGCCTCACTGCTGCAGTTGCTTCCTTCTACATCTGAAATACTTTCTTTTAATATTTAGGTTATAAAATAACCTCATCTGTCACAGCTGTTACTTCATCTTTAGCGAAAGGCTAGAAGCTAAATGTCATACCTAAAATACTCATTTCTTCTTGGAAACCATCGTTTCAGGCTCAGGAGCCCGTTCTGCAGTAGTGGCCTGGTGCTCCCTCCCAGGCTGTGCTGGGCTGGACTGGGCACTGTATGGGGGGAACCTGCCCATCGCTGCTTCCCAGCCGTGGGGCTTCGGGGAGGAGAGGGGAGGAGGCATCCAGCTCTGTGTCCTGGCACATCCCGGCAGCTCAGCAGCCCCCAGAGCTGGCTGCAAGCTCACGCAGTTCAGAGCAGCTACGAGATGACCCCCGAGCTTTGCCAGTGGCCACAGCATTTGGTCTCGAATTGGAGGCAAACGGCCAAAGAGAAGGAAAATCAGCCATTCCCTCCACCCCGGCAAAGTGTGCCGAGCAATGCCCCAGCGTGCCCAAGGATTGGGCTCTGGGGAAGCCCGACTCAGACTTTCATCCTCAAGACAAACACATTGCTTTACCTGCACTTTGCTTTTTCAGACCAGATCCTGCAAAACAAATCTCTGCCGCCTCAGTGCCGGGCAGGGGTGTGCTGCAGCACGGCTGCAGGCTGTCTCTCTCCCTCTCCTTGCCCGTGGCAGCCCTTTTCCCTGCTCTGGGGCCATGCTAGGGATTCAACTGCAGCCACCTAGGTATCTCCACCCGCATCCCGTGCCCACAGCCATAGTCCCGGGTGACTGGCTTCCACAGAAAACGAGAGGGCCAAGAGGTTACAAGGGCACATCCTAAAAGTTCAAGGGGTTACAGGGACTGCAACCTGGCTTGCCTATGGTACCCCAGGAGGTCCCCCAGGAAACTTCCGTGTCTTAACAGGAGATGGTAAAGGCTGGAGTGCAATGGGGACAACATTAGCAATATGCTAATGCACAATGCACTCCTCAGTGCAGCAGATTTTAATAGCAAGTAACCATATTCTGAATAAACCTGGCCCTAGTACTGGGACAAATGACTGACCACCAGATTCTCATTTATCCAGCTGTTTTCTTATCCCGATCCTATTAGGAGAAAGAGAGATTTAAAGGAATAACAAAAGGTGAATGAATGGCTTTTCTTGAAGGGAGACATGCACTGCTTGCTCATCGCTCCCAGCTTTTTCAGCTAGCTATTGGTGCAAGGAAGCACAAAGCAGTGCACTGCTGAGATGCCAGAGCACTGCAGCACGAGAGCTGCACAGCATCACCTGAGCTCCCTTCCCACGGTGGCCCACTCTCCCTGGAAGCGCTCAGGCATGAAATCATAACTTCCACCTCTCCCTTTCATTATCCTTTAAACTGTGACCATCGCTTGCACTTCCCTTGTCCCTTCTGAAGATGGTGTTGATGCGTGTCCCGTGCCACACCAGAGATTTCTAGAATGGCGTTTTCTCTTTAGCCAATTGCTTTTGGGAATGTCCTGGTCTTGGTTTACTCTAAACCCCATGCTTACTCAGTTATTTTAGGCAGAGAGGAAAGATGGCTCCAACCAGGAGACAAATCCCTTTCTGCAAATACCCCCAGGTGAGGGCTATGCTGGTCTCACCTCTCCACACCAAGCCAGCGCCTCGGGGGGCAGATGAGAGGCTGTGAAATCGCACTGCCCCCCTGGCTGGGTTTGCCCATGGGCCAGGAAGGGGATGCCAGGAGGCAAAACGTAAAATCCCATCGCTTATCCTGGCCCCCAACCATTTGCTCCAGGGCCTCAGAGAGCTGCGGCTGCAGAGATTTCTTCAAGCTGTTTTTGGCTGTGGGTCCTCCTGTCTCTGCCACTGGCACAGGAAGGCAGGCACTGGGAACCAGTGCCTCCCAGTAGGCTCAGTTTGGCTGCCCTGGGATGGCCAAACCCCGCAACAAGACTCTGCCAGACAGCTCTTCCCCCTACAGAGCTTGGCACTCCCATCAACGCTCGCAACAATGCTGAACCTGAGGGCAAAGGGGTTCCTCTTAGAGATGTATATCCAGGACAGAAAGAAAAGCCTGATTTCATTCTCACATCCATGCAAAAGATGCAGGGAGCCACAAGAAGGGGTGAGGAAAACCTCCAGCCCCTTCGCTTTCTTGAGAGGCCCTTTCTTTAAAAACGAAAGTGAGCAGTTGTTACCATAATTTTGTCAATTTAATCAGGTAACAAAAAAAAAAGTCTGCAGCCTCCCTGCGAAGCAAACAGATCCCATCCCAGCAGGGAGGGGTTAGAAACTGCTGATTCATTTGCAAAATGGTCCAATCCCAGAAATCCTTTAAGCCCACATTATATAATCTGCTGCCTGGATCGAAGCTACGGGGAAAGGCGACGAGACACGAGGACCCAGCCATGGCCACCGGTGTCCCCCACGGGTCTTCACCTCGCTGGTGGCACAGCTTGGCTCTCCCACCATGAGAGTGACAGCAAGGTGCTACGGGATGCTTCAGCCTTCCCGAGCCCCGAGTCCCACCTCACGGAGAGACACCCCAACTCCCCGTGGGAGCTGCATCAGAGTCACAGCCACCATTTTTAATACTAAAGGTGGGCACAACTGCCTTCTGCTCATCGTATACACCGCAAAAATGTGTCTGGTTTTGCTGCTGAGCAGCGATGTGCCGTGTTTTACAGGGAACATCACTCATCGTAAGGACTCGACTATGCTTTGTTACTTGACGTACAGCCGAGGAACGGCCAACTAGACAGAACTAGCCAGATACACGGGTGTCTGCCTCTACTGGGAGTGATCTGGCACACAGAGACATGCTTTACTCCCAAGACTAAGACCTTCACAATGCCATACTACTCTTCTTCTGGTTGATGTTGCTATTACTTGACTCCATTTAGTCTTTCAGTCTACATCTGATGGTTCAAATTAAAAACGAGCTTCACTCTAGTCAGTGCTGCCAACTCTTACGTTTTTTTACTGTCATTTTCACCAAGTCTGGTTTTTC